AGTAAGTCATGATCAATCACGACTAATCAAAACAGAATTTCACAAACTATCACCGTTTACATGCATGAGATACAACTCACATTTTGTTGTGAAGTTCTTGTCCGTAAACATTTTCTGAAATCGTCCGTCAATCTTAAGTTTCCTCTCTTTTCGCGAGATTTTCTGGGAACAACAAAAGATCGATATAGCAATCATTATTTGACTTTAGAGAAAAGGCGAGCTCTACAATCGACCTTGAAGCGCACGAAGAGAAGACAATTACCATCAAAAATGTGGAAAAGATATACATGAGCGTTTTAACAATAACATGTAAAACAGGCGATAAAGAAAGCTACACAACACAGCTGATTTCAAGACTTGCCTTGAATCTGGGATCCTGGGCAACACGTGCAAATCTATCATCGGCTTCCATCTTCTTGTTTCAGCGATGATCTTCAATCCGATAAGGCTTTAAAGAGATCTTTCGCTAGTTTACACAAAACCTTCTTCCTTCAAGGGACTTTCAGGGCCTCAAAACACGACAACAATTGCTTCTTCTCAAGAATATTATCATGGGATAAAATTCGAAGGCGAAAACATCCAGGCATCACTTTTTGCATTGGTAACCGCTCATATTACGCAAGGTTACTCTTCCCATTCTCCCGCGGCCCAGTACAATCCAAGATCACGTGTCCAGAAGCCTGAGGTCTTCGAAAATATGGCGGGTTTCTTGCAAGGTAGGTCAGGACATTTTGGCGTTTATCTGTTTTTATTTGCTCTTCTGTGGCTTGTTCTTATATTATCACAAGTAACTTGCCGAAGTAAATGCATGTGGAAAGGAACGCTTTTAGAAGGTGAATTTGAGCACATATATGGCAATAACGTTTCAATACCACAGTCAGTACAAAAGTCTATGTAGGTTTGCCTTTTTAACAAATAGTGTCCAAGACCAAGTAGCTGTGCGTATTTTTAACCCAGTTGGAAGCTGAATTGTAGGGCTTTCATTAACGTTTTCAGCAGGAGGGTAACTGGTTTCCACAGGCGGACAAAACATTTTGAACTGAACTTCTTTATAACAAGAACTTTCCTCTAGATCACTCACATGGTCAAACCATGCTGGCAAAATCATCCTCACAGCTGGTCAATTTTCCCAGAACCTAGCCCATGCCAGGATGGGCTATGCAAATCCGCCAATCGGTGCCTTTTTTCTGCCAAATATGTCGAACCGCCAATATTTTTGTTCAAATCTGAAACCACAATCACATCCGGAAACAGGAGTATAAAAGTTCAAAAGTAAACTGGTAATTGTGAATGCCATTGTTAGTTTTGCACAAATAGTAAAGAAAGCAGCATACTTGATGGCTATAACATAATACAATTCCAATAACAGTCTCATACCTGAGTTTAAATAATCTTCATTTGAAAAAAAAAAAAATAATAATAATTTGGATGAACTCATTAACATACCGACCAAGGCTGAAGAAAGATCTATGATCCAAATTTCTCTTAGGACCCAAGATCCGAACATCAAGACGGGCACAATCCGGAATCTGCACCATAATTTACAGCTAATCCATGATCCACTGTGTTTTCAAAATCCATGAATCCGCTTAATTTACCGCAAAAATCCACGATCCATGTGCTTTTTAAGGCCAAATCCGTCAATCCGAAAACCTATTCACCCCCCTCCTTCAAAGTATTATACGGGGTGTAGAGCACGAAACTGGTAATTGTAGAGTATAGCGTTAAATTTTGTATAGTCACTCAGACTTGCAGTGTGCATGTACATTGTTTGTTCCCACAGAATGAAACACTTCAAACTGAAAAGAGCTTAGATGTTCAAGACAGGACTTGATGATATCAACATGGAAACTATGACTGGTACAGTAGGTAAGTGATAGCAATAGCTATAAAGCAGTCTTTTAAACTATACCCATATATTAAATAAATTAAAGCACTTTTTAAATAATATAGGATACCAAAGAGGTGAATATTATGATAAAGAGACCCAATGGACATGTTAGCATGAAACAACTTTGATTTACTGAGAGAAAATACAAAGACATAGGTATGCAAGGGATGGAGGAGTTATTTTCCAAGTGCCAGGCTGTCTGTGCTTTGAGGATATTGCGAGAAGTTGCTTCTTGTGGTTGTAAACACAGAACTGTTTGTATGACTCTTGAGATTGCTTTTTAACACTGATAGCTATTCTTTGGAAACTAACAGGAATAAAGGATTATTACAGTATATTTAGACAGTTACAATTACCTGAAATGATTTAATCTGTCAACACTGAAGGCAATGTTTTGGGTAAATGAATATTATGTAACTGCTGTTTCTTGAGGTAACGTGATAAAGGCAATATTTTCCTTTSGATGATACTTACTTGTTTTGTTTTGAAAGGATGGTGTAACAGGCAATTTGGGGGTATACAGAAGTTCTTTGACACAATAGAGAGAGTTGAGGTGCCACAAGAATGGGCTACAGTCCTTTAACCTGACACATGGGATATTAGCATATTTTCTCTGTGTTTGGTTTCATGTACGCGTGCTAGGTATGAGTTGACAGTACACAATGCAATATTGTTATGTGGCCATACTACACCTTAGTTAGCCCTTGGGAGAAAGGGTGTACAAAAACTTATTTAGAACTGCAATGCCTGGGATACTGTTGTTGACAAGCATTGTGTAGTTCCAGAAAATATCCATACCTCCCCCACGCAAGGGTTTTTTCTAACACCTCCCCACCCCTCTGGAAATTCCAGTTAAGCTTCATACATTTCTTTAAATTTTTTTGGTCTTCTGGAACCCCCCACCCCCAGGAAATTCCAATCCCTTCTGTGGGGGGAGTATGGATATTTTCTGGAACTGCACATTCTGCTGTGGAGGGAGGGACACAGTTATCTAATATGAAGCACACTGGACTGCAGTGGGTTTGAACCAATGGTCAGGGTCTCTGCTTTGTGTTCTTGGGCAAGACACTTTACTCTCACACTACCTCTGCAATTTACCTAGTACAAATGGGTCCTGGGTAAATTTAATACTGGGTGCTAACCCTGCATCAGACTTGCATCCCATCCCATGCCATTGACCATTGTCAAACCTTGCCTCTGTAGGGTTGAAACTCTTAAAAATCTGATGATTATTTTTTAAAATTTTTGTAGTTTTGTGAAACAGACAGATTCTCATCCTGGGCATCCATGGGGGAGTTAAAGACTATTCAATATCAGTTAATGCGGCAAGGACTGGGTTAAGCTGTGGTGGTTTAGATCACTTGCCCCAATGCAGACTTTACCTGTTACCTTCATATCATGGTCCGAACTCGCCCAGTAGGGTTAAAACTTTAAAAATCTGATGATTTTATTTTAATTAGGGAGTTTAAGAATACCATGATCGCAACGGCAATGGGAACGTTGCTAAACCAAAGATTTATTGAGCAGTTCAATTGCTGTGCACGTGGGGTAACCTGAAAACACTGACCCCTGGTCCGTGGACCCCCACTATGGACCGGGTCCGCGGACTACCTATGGACCGGTCCACAGACTCCCACTACGGACCCCCTCTACAGACCACCCCCCAAAATATAATAAAAATAATAAATAAATATTTCAGTTGTGGGTTGTCTAATAGATTACTCGTGAGGGCGAAATTTCGAACGTTACATTGTGCGAATGGGCAGACCTAGATTCAGGCTCGGGTGCAATTTATATAATTACACATTGCCATTTCCTTTGCTGTGGCCATAAAGTATACAGAAGACGTGTACGGGGAAGCCTCCTGGAAGCCTCGAAATTTGTGTTCTTTCCCCTCTGCCATTTTGGTCAGCCCATTCTCCCATGGGTTCGTGAACTCGTTCCAGGCTTCACAATTTACTCAGCCGAATAACAGATACAAACAAGAATAAATGGCTTAAAAATATATCTTCCATAGCCAGATTGAGCCACGAATGGAAGTTAAGAATTTTCCTTCTTACCATCGGCATCTCCTTACGCTGAAAATGGCTTTTAGGCAATTTTTTTGGGGAGGGGGGGGGGGGGGGGGGGTTACATTTGCACAGTGTAACACTCGAAAAATCACCAACACGAGTTTGAATCTATTAGACAACCCATAAGTGAAATCTTTATTTATTATTTTCACACTATTTTAGGGTGGTCCGTAGAGGGGGTCCGTAGGGGTAGTCCATGGACCGGCCCATAGAATAGTCCATGGACCTGGTCCGTTGTGGGGGTCCGCGGACCAGGGGCCAGTGTTTTCAGGTTACCTGTGCATGTGTGAAATATTTCTTGGTACAAATTTTGGGTCATCTAGGGAACATGAACTGTGACTGCTGATTTTTTAAATTTCTATTTCAAATTTATCGCTGGGTTCCATATTTAGTTTTGTGATAGTTCTGACAGTGATTCGTAGGTAAAATACAAAGTTGTTTTTCAACTGACGTTGTCAAAACTGGGATAAGGTGTAGTAATGGTGGATCACTTGCCCTGATATAGACTTACCTTTCCTTCATGATTCATTGAAACTCGCCCTAGTAGGGTTCAAACTTCAAAATTCCTAAGAATTATTTTTAATTGCACATAGTTTGTAAAGCTTTAGATATCAAGGAATTCCATAGGGATTGAAACATTTGCAGTTTCTTACTAGATACAAAGCAGAGAAGCAAGGAAAAGAGCTATGTGTGTAGACTCCAGAGGAGAAAGAATCAACTTGGTACATTGGATCCCATAGTTGGTTTGTCACAATTCTAATTAAGTTTGATATCATGTACTAGGAGTAATTGTAGTGACTGCACAACACAGGGAGACAATCTATTAAATGAATGCAGATGTTATTGTTTCACTACTTTCAGCTATTTCAACAAACCATTGTTATGTGGCCATGTACCTTAGCCCTTCAGGGATAGGATGTACAAAAATTCCTCAAGACTGCAATGCCTGGGGTGTTGTTGAGGAGTATTGTTTTGTGGAAGGAGGGACACACTGGTCTAATGGTTAGTGTACTGGACTGCACATCAAGCAGCCTGAGTTTGAGCCAGTGATTAGGGTCTCCGTATTGTGTTCTTGAGAAAGACACTTTACTCTTGCACTAACCTCTCTTCACCTAGGTGTACAAATGGGCACTGGGTGAATTTAATACTGGGTGCTAACCCTGTGACAGACTAGCATCCCATCCAGGCAAAATAGAAATACGCCTTATCACTTAATGCAACAGAGACCTGGATAAGCTGTAGTGGTGTGGATCACTTGACCTGATGCAGACTTAACCTTACCTTTATTGTTGAAACTTGCTCCTGTAGGGTTGAAATGGAAAAAATCGAATGTTTTATTTTTTTTGTGAAATTTTTGAGATGAAGCATGTCATAATGGTTAAAACATTTCCTTTTTCTTACTAGATAATTATACAACAGAGAGGAACAAAAAATGTGCCGAGACTCGTGGAAAAAGAATCAAATGAGATCTTGGATCCCATATTAGGTGAGTCACAATTTTCTTTTTAAAGGAAGGGCTTTCTAATCACTTGATGGTGCATGTACTAGGGATAATTGAACACAATGCAGGCAAAAATTTAAACGAATAGAGACGTTATTGTTTCACTGTTCAGATATTTCAAGAAACCCTTGTTACATGGCCAACAGAGTACCCGAGCCCTTCAGGGTTAGGTTATATAAACATCCCTTAAGAATACAATGCCTGAGGTACTATTGCTGATGAACATTCAAATTGTGAGACGAGGAGCTTAATTTGATCAACGACCAATTGCTTTCAATTAATGTACATGTATCAATGCTTCCTTGGCCATAAAGCCAGCCGT